TCGGAGGAAGATTATGTTCCCGTCGCGCCGGGCGCGATTATTAATACGAAACGAGCCTTCATCAGTCATTCGTCACTGTCGAAGGAGCCAGCGGGAGGTGATCGTTGCTTCCTCATGGCCTCCCCCGATTCGTCTCGCGGGCACCACCGCGGCGCGACGCTATTTTTCGCAGGAAATTACCCACTTTCCCCTCCTCATACGCCTACGTCGTTCCGCGGGTACACCACGTGCGCGCCACGCTGAGAAATCAATCAGCGTACTCGCGCGTGAAATCGCGCGATAGATGTTACTTCGTTTCCCGAAACCACACCCCACGTCGATCGCCCACTCTCTCTCTCTCTCTCCCTCTCTCTCTCGCTGATCCCCGGTCGCTCCCCCGCGTCGCCCTCGCGTCTTATCTTTACCCTTTAAAGTTAACGTTACCGGATACTTACCGCTGTATCCAGCCCGGACATCTTTACGGCGCGATTCGCCGTCGATTTACGCGCGCCCTAGGCGCGTACCTGCTTAAGGATCGGAGTACCTAAAGTACGGAAAGGGACAGATAAGAAGGTCCGATCGATCCCACGGGCGAGAATTCCCCGTCAAGGAAAAAATCCGGGAGTTTAGAGGGAGGGGGTGGTAAGAGAACGGTCGAGGTGGAAGAGAAAGTCGACTGAATCGTCGGCGCGAGACAGATACGGCGGCTCGACCCTTCCCTCTGCGTAACGTCCTCCTCTGATGTACCACCGGTTCGTTCTTCGGTTGGACGGCCGCTCGAAATTTCTTCCGTATTTTCTGGAAGTTTACGAGCCGATGTCGATCGAGGTGCACATGTATATACACATACACGGAACGCCGACTTTTCCTGTTAAGCCTCGGGGAGCCCTTGTCGTCTCGCGATATTACCCGGATTGCGATCCACGATTCGTCCTGAGATTGGGATTTTTGGGATTTTTCGACATACACAATGAGAGACGAGCGCGAGTCCGCCGAACTTCGGGCTGAAATTAACCCCTCGACCGCATTATGGGTCAGTTAGACCCGGTGACTTGCGTTTGAAGAGTTTCGTCGCGTTGCCCGATCGTCATCCGAAAATCCTATGCAACGGGCTTAAAGCGGAAGGTCCTGTTGCGCGACCTGCTTCGTGAGTGCGAGAGCACGTTTGTTTCAAAAGGAGGAGAAAGGTCGAAATTAATTAAACCAGATGTTTAATTAACATCCGGCCACTCCGGCGAGGCTTTTACATTCCCAACTTACTCGCGGTGAGAATTTACTCTTTGTAACCCGAATCCGGACCCAATTTCCGCGCGTTTCATTCGCGCGCAGAAATTTTTCGCAACAAAAGCGCTCGATTACTGGCGGCCCGTAATAGTCGCCGCTCGCAGTTACCCGTGCCCGAGTCGCGAGAAGTGAACGCAAACGTCGTGGTGGTAGCGCCTTACCTCAAGGCGACCTTAAGAAACCGAATTGCGAGCGTTAAACCTCCCGGTGACTGCGGTACGGGGGCAATAAAATCCGCCGGATATCGCCCTCCGATCGCTGAGGGATATCACGGAGGTTTCCGCGGCCAGCCGTCTTGCTCGTGAGGAGAAGGAGATGGGGCTCTCCTTAGCCCTTCCAGTTAAAGGACCCGCCGCGGCGTAACCTTTGACCGACGTTCCCTTCAGTCACGCCGCCGAAAGCCGTCGAAAACCGAAAGGCACGTTTTATTCTCCTCTCTTTCCTCCCAGCCCCTCTCCCCTCCGCCAACCTGCCGTTTCTCGCCGGTAACGAGAACGGGACTTATCCGGGCCCGAAATCTCCGACGTGAAATTGCGAAAGCCGAGCACAAAGAAGTTGCGTGCCCCGCCGAGAGAGAAAAAAAGAGAGAGGAGAGAGAGAGAGAGAGAGAAGATCGTATCTCCTCGTTTCTGTCATGTCGACCGAAAGTCAAGGAACGAACGAATGGACGGGCAAATGTACAGACGGATGGACGGACTGGTCGTGACGCGAAATGCACTGTGAGTTCATCATACATACGACGTCCAGACTGCGGCGCGTTGCGTCGTGTCGTTGATTCATCGACCTCTCTCTCTCTTTCTCTCTCGCTGCGGAAAATGTGCGGACTCATCCGCGGTTACGAGAACGACCGCGCGATCGCCAATTTCGAGAGGCGCGCCACACGAACGGACGGACGGATAAACAACCGTTCGCGGTGATGCCGGTCGCGAAATTACAAAACGACGCTAAAAGCGTCTTTCGCAAAGGTGAAAGTGCCTTCTTCCCGAGCCGACGTGGACTTTACGAACTGCACTCTACCTGTAGTGGTGGACGACGAGCATGTGTTTTGACGTAAAAGTTTCGTAAGTGGGATTTAAGCTCTCTATTGGCTCGACGCAAAAATGATATTTCGACAGGGGGTTCGCTCGGACGGCGAACTTTTAATTAGAAGAGCAATTTATTCGCTCTTCCCCCTGGAAAAATTCTCTCCTTTAAAATCGTGTTTACGCGGGAAAGGAGATTTCTGATACCTCCTCCTCGCGCCGACGACGAGTATTTCACGCGCGAACGAACGAACTTCGGTCGCCTTTTAAATCGAGCGAGAGAGCCCCTTCGGTCTCTTCTCGCGTAAATCTCGATCCCGAGAATTTCGGAATATCGAATGTATCTCGCTTGCTTTAACGGGATGCGCCGGGGTGCGGGAACTGTCTTCTCTCGCGGATGTGCAAACCCTCGGCTCTCCCGGATCTGCACAAAGGACGGACACAAACTTCTTCCGCGCGCACCTTATACGTGTTTTCTTCCACATTTGCTTTCCGATACGCGCTGCAATATCACGTAGAGCTTTGAGAGGGACCGCCGATGTCGCTCACTCGGAGTTACAAATACATTCTCTCTCTTTCTCTCTCTCTCTCTCTCTCTGTATCTTGCGATGTTCCTTATCGTTGTGTTCCTCGCAACTTCTCGCGCAGAAAGAGAGTCAATAACAAAGCCGTACGTGTCGCAATATATATACGTCTCGATAAAGGCGACGCCCCGATAACGTATCGTACGAACTAAATCGGGGAAATCCCTTTGCACTTTCGCAAAACGACAATGTATTCTGATCGAAATCTGCACTGTATTTCGGGGAAAGGGTCACGAGGAATTTCTGTGCGGACGTTCTCGCGTGATGGGGCTGCGACAAATTCGGCGATCGGAATTTGGAACTCCAACTTCCTTGCGGCCTTTGCGGCTCCGAAGCTTTTCTGTATCGTCCGTAGAGTTTTGACTCTCCGCGGAGAATAATCTGCACGCTATTCATCAAAAGGGAGAATCCGACCGAAGCGTAATAACTCTGCGTGTACGGTTGCGTGACGTACAATGTCCGTCTGAAAGTCCCGCTTGAAAGTGCCAACGTCGGCACGGGATTCATCGGCGCGAGATCTTCTTGCTCCCGTTTCTCGTTCCTTTTACGCCTCCTCGACGTCGTCTACCATCTATACCTCTTCGAGGTTTCCGGTCCGGCATTCATCAAGCTCGCGATTTTTCTTCTGGGATCTTCCCGCAATCTCCGCGGCCGCGCGCGGACAATGCGCGCGTGTGTTCGTGTTCCTCGGGACGATCCGCCGAATAAAATAATCGATTCTCGCTGCGCCCGACAAGGATATATATCTCTTTTCATCCATCATTTAGTAATTTACATTAACCTTGAGAACAACACCCACGATCTTTTGACGCCGAAGTAACATCAAGGGTTTCTCTCAGGCCTACGTCGCGAAAAAAATTTTAAAAATCGCCGTTTCTTGTCTCTTCTGGTCTCTTGTGAATTATTAACTCTCGCAAGAAAAGGTATGGGTTATTCATCGCCTCACAAAAGGCGTTTATTTATTATATTATTATACAGGGTATCCCAGGGATCAACAGGGATTGAGGTGAACAAAAAACCCTCCACCATTTGGGAACAACATGCAAAATTTCGAGTTATTAATTAAAGAAGCCTCTATACATGGCCATTTTCAATAATCAATAACTCGAACTTAATTAATAACACGAAATTTCGCGTATTATTTGCAAAATGGTAAAGGACTTTTTTGTTCACCTCAATCCTTTTTATGCCCTCGAAAATTGTCTCTGAGTGTGTAATATTATATAACCCTGTGTAATATTTTGAAAAATATATTCTTGCTTATTGTTCCGTAGGATTTGTGTGCCCTTGTTTTCATCAAACAGAATGCATATTCACATATTTGGGCCACTTTTCTCTTCACGTCCTGTTAGTCCAGCTTCCCTTGCGAGGATTAAGTTTATTACTTTGTAGACCGCTAGACTGTCGGGAAACCAGTTATCTTTCATTGGATCAGGCTGATAATAGCAGTGGTCACATCACAGACCCGGCTTCTTTTTCGGAGTAATAAAGGAACAGAAGTGAGATGTAGCGTTTTGTACCCGTAAACGAAAGGAAACGTGTCTAGGCCTAACATGTCACTGTCAGGGTCTTAATGTCGCCGGTGTTGCATGCTCCGTGATCCTGATATCACCTGCTTACCGGCCACAGCCGGCATCTTTTTCTGTTTTTTTTCTCATAAAGCCACACATACACACGCGTGTCGCATACACCGATAGCGGATAATTACAGAGCGTTGCCTGGCGAGTTATTAATGGAATAGGGTCCGAAAGATTCATTAGGGTAGAGTAAATTGGAAGAGGCGGCTTGCAAAATTTATCTCTGAAAAATTACCGTCGCTTCCCGAAATTAGCGTGAGAGCCACGCAGCGTCGTTACCATTAATTTATATATTATCGTCGTCGACGACGTCAAGCACATCGAAGGAGAAAAGGTGAGAAGGAGGGGGGGGGGGACAGCAAGGTTGGAGCAATTTCAAGCCCGCGTTTACGACCTCCGAGGGGAATCGCAGCGGAGTGGGACGGGGCGCGCGATATCTTTCGACACGAAGCACTTTTAAACGGCGTCGTCGTTTCACGGACATATCGCCGACCGTCTCCGGGTGGAATTTCTGCTCCTGACGTTAATCCCGCCGTCGATTTTTCTGTTTCAAGGAGCCGTGCACCGAGGCGCCAAGTGCCCGCAGGACAGTGTGCCGAACGAGAGCGGCGGTTGCAAATGCGCGGATTGTTCGGTCCGTAAGTGCCGGCCGGGTCAACGACCGGTGGCGGAGAAGGGGGCATTTTCCGGCATCCCCGGCGACTGCTGTCCGAACTACAACTGCGTACCCTCAGGTAACGGAATCCAGTATAAGTGGTGGTCCGTATTTCGCGGCGGAAAATAATGTTTGTCCGGTGTAACGAACGGCGGGAAATCGGTGCTGCCGGATCGTATTATCGCGCGCGTTTCCTTTGATTAAAGCCTCACCGTTCGTTTCGGAGTTTCTGCCATCTGTCATGTGTCGATAAGCGACGCGATCGATGGCGATAACGTTGCTCTCCCGGTCGACCGTGAGAGGCGGAAACGTCATGCTCTTTGTGTAAGAACGCGCACCCTCGCTGCCGCTGGCAGGATAGCGTCGTAGATTTTAAGATCTACGTAGACTGATATTATTGTTTCTCACTTGCGTTGTTAAGTAGAACGATTTAATCACTCACGACGAAGATTAACCCGAATGCAGAGATAATGTAACATGCGCGCACATAGCCCATGTCAGGCCACCGATGGGGCGTAAGCTCGGAGTCTCCAAAATCGCGTCGATTCCGCAGATCATCACCGTGCCGAGGCAACCTGTCCGGAGGACAGTGTCCTGACGGATGACGGTGTCTGCAAATGCGTGCCGACGTGTCCGCCGCCGAAATGTCGACTTGATCAACGGCCGGTCGAGGTGCGGGCGGCCAAGCCCGAGACACCCGGTAGCTGCTGTCCTCTTCACGACTGCAGAGCCCTAGGTAATTACGGAAAGTCGTAATCGAGGCTGGCTCCTGTCAGCCGATAGGAACGCCATATATCGGTTCGATATCTCGGATCTGCTTTCTCGTTCTCTCTCTATATATGTATATCTCTTTCTCTCTCTCTCTCCCTCTCTCGTTCCTGTGCGCTCTGAGAGATACGGCCTCTCCTCTCCTCCTTCAGACGCTCGAATCGCAATCTGACGAGACAAGCTCGTTCGCCGGGCTTGTAGCTCCGGTGTATTTCAGATATCGGCACGAAGGACTTCCTGACCGATCGCAATCAACGCGTTTCCTACGGACGCGCGCACGAATGGCGCTCCATTGCCGGGAGGGAGAGAGAGAGAGACCGCGCGCGTTAAATGTGTGACGAGGAATAATGAGACGTCGAAATAGCGAGGAAACGGGAAATTATCCTCGTTTCGAGTTCACCGTGAAATTTTCCTTGGGAATTTCCAACAAGCGCGGGGAGTAACTTCGAATTCGACGATGCGGACGATAGTTGCGCGCCCCAATTCGGCGCGAAGATCGATCGACCGCACTTGGCGATTTTTGCAAGCCGCCGGAGAATTGGAGAACCGTTTCAATCGGCACGATCGCCCTGAGAAGCTCGTCCCGGGGAAAGTCTCGCGCGCGAGTTAACGGCATTGTAAATGCTAGCCGCGTAGATTGTAAGCAGAGATAATGCCCAGATGCGATATATCACCGCGCCATGCGGTTTTTAAGTTACGACGTTTAAAGTTACATCGCCGCGCCCTCGCTGCGCGGAACTTTCGATCTACCTGTTGAATTTTAATGAAGTCATTCTTATCTCGCGAAATCGCGAGCGAGCGAGACGCGCGCGTGGCTGAAACTTAATAGCGTTCCGTGTCTGTTTTAAAATTTAATAACGTTTCCACCGTGAGCGCCATAGACATCTACAAATCATGGCACTAGAAACATTATTACGGCGGAGGAAGAGGTTACTCTCTTCCGGTGTCTTAACGATATCGATTTATTATCGCCCGATTACGCTCCCGACGTTGTTACTCACCATTTTTCACCGTTCGTGGGCGAGCGACGACGCTCGCAACGACGCTTCGAGCCGCAGGCAAGAAATTTTCACTTGTACGAAAGAAATATTATATTGTACGTATATAACCAATTATATCCTTCTTTCTACTTATAGTAAATATTTGCCAAGGAGAGTATTAGAGTAACCATTTTACTTAAATCAAGTAAATATTACTTGAACGGTAGCGCTTTTTTCAATGCGTATGTGGGAAAACTTGAGAGAATTTCTATACGGGATATATTTTGTCGAACGGCCTTTCGGTCAATTATGTATTCAGAGGTCCGGGATATCGCAGCGCGACCTGCCCTTCTATTAGATTGCCGACAATTAAATACCCTTTTACATCACACAGTAAATTCGCTTTTGCTCTGTGTGTATGTGCGCGTGCGCGCGCGCGCGCAGAGCGGTGTTTAAACAGCCTGCGCGACAGTTAAACAACATTCTATCTTGTTAACAATATTCATTACCGCCGTAGTTCGCATTATCGGTCACGCATACACGGTTGATGCCTCATCTAATTAATACGCTTTTCGTCGGCAAGTACACACAATAATAAATATTGACGTAAACCCCGATGCCAGGCTACGGTAAATAGCGATACGGGCTTCGGATTAAACCGTCCGGAGAAATGTCCTCTTCCCTCTCTCTCTCTCTCTCTCTCTCTCTCTCTCTCTCTCTCTATCTCTCTCTTTCCTCCTCTCTCTCTAGTTTTTGTTGCGAGAGCGTCTAAAACGGCATTAATCGCAAAAACAAATATTTTGCGACCGATTTGCCGGTCCAGTCGAAGCTGTTAACGATATTTGCGATCGATGCGCGCCGCGAACGTTCCGCTCTCATCCGGTTAATTATTTTTCCCCTGATCTTTGCTCCCACCACCACGCGTCCCCCTCGCCGAGTGGAGTATTGATTCGAATGTGACTTTTTGCGTGGTTTTTTTACAAAGTTAGGTAGAGAGAAAAAGAGAGAGAGAGAGACTTGTTGCCCATCTCTCGTGTACGTTCTACGATTCTTCATTTAACGCGCCTCTCCCGCCCTCGTCGGACCTTTATTTTCTCTATTTTTCTCTCTCTCTCTCTCTCTCTCTCTCTCTCTTTCTCTCTCTCTCTGCCTGTCTCGCGTGCGCGCTGAGATTATACCTTTAATATTTTCTACAAAGCGCCCTTGTTATTGCCCTCAATTTGGCCGTCGATAGCGTCCCCTCGTCGGTCGTAGTGCGGATTACAAAGAGTAATGAAACATCCCGAATAATGAAACGGAGAATAAGAAGAAAAAAAACTGCCCTCGCGTAACATAAAGGAACACGACGCCGGCTTTCCATATTTCTTACAAAAGCTTGCAAATTTTGCTCCTTCCGGCGGCGTGCTCCATGTGTGAACGGCGGGAAAACGAATTACGCGAAGGGACCGCTAACAATCATCAGCGACCGGCGTATTTAATAAAAAAAAAAAATCCCGTAAATTCTCCCTCTCTTTCTCTCTTTCTTTCGTTCTCTCTTTCAACACGCACGTATGTCCGCACGTGTGCCGCGACAAGGAAATAATGGGCACCGCGGACGGAGCCAGCGGAAGCTCGCGAAAATTGTTTTTGCTTCTGCGCCGATTTTTCACGGGAATGTGCCACTTTAAAGTTCGGGTAGGTGTTATGAATGAACGCTCGTAAATGAAACATCCGGGAATAGATCGCGCATCGCCAACCGCCCGATCCATGTTTCTTTCATGATTCCGGGAGCTACGTGCTAAAGTCGACGCTTAAAGCGTCTCGTAATAATTGAAGGCCTCGTGGGACGATGACGCGCGTATCAGTGAAAGTCGGACGCGGCTCTCGGTCCGGTATCTGCAGCATCGGACGATGGTACGAAAATATTGATTATTATATAAATTATAAATAGGGACAGGTCGTAATGTACCACCTTCTCCTCCACGGATCATCTTATGAAATTGTTTACATTTTCTCTCTCTTACGTGATGACGAGATCATTTCTCATCAGCGTGGCGACTGGCGAAAGAAAAGCAGCGCGCCTGTATGGCGCGCTGTCTCATGCAGAAAAGATCAGCGCTCAAGGGTTTACTACCCAACTAGAGTGTACTTCGGCATGTAAATTTTACGTGCTAGCTTGTGTAAAGAGAAAAAAGAGAGAGAGAGAGAGAGAGTGGGAAGGGAGGAAGGAAGAGGACGAAGAAGGGGACAGAAAGGGAGGCAAAGCGCGCAAATAAAAGCGCTCTAAGCGATATACGACACCCGCGTGAATAGCGTAGTCATCGCGGGGAGCTTAATCGTCGGGTTTTACATCAAAAACGCTCGACAGCTTTAATGGCAGCGATACGATCCCGGTCGCCCGGTATAACGAAATAATGTCGCGGTTAATCAGATTTTCGCGAGTTATTAACGGCCGAGGCGTAAGAGGACGCGACGGCGACTGCGAGTTTATGTCTGTGTGTTTTGCGTGTGTGTACGTGTGCGTTGAGGGGACTATGAATATTAAGCGGGAGAGATTGCAAATCTTCATGAGATTCTGCAATTTCCGCCGCTTTGATGATTACCGGAGCGCTTGTCGTCTCTGGAAAATCACCGAATAATGACTTGATCGCTGAAGAGCGCGCTCGATTATACGCGTTCGTAATCTCGTATGCATAATTAGCGACTGTTTCGCTAATAACGCGAGTCGTCGTCGTCGTCGTCGTAGCCGAGCCTCGAGCTCGGGCACGAGCTTGTAAAATTCGCCGGCTGAATTGGAGCGACTTGTTAAAAATGTGATTGGAGTTTGCGCGAGGTTGCGATTTTTCTCAGGACGGCCGAGCGAACGAGTGAGCGAGGTCGCGTAAGCAGAACGCGCGTACGCGACGTCGAAAAATCCGTCGCAACAATTTTATGCAAGAGTTCGCAAACTCCAGGAACACTGAGGCACTCGCCCAAGTTTTCCTCGTTCGCTTACAAAACTACCATATTTGGGTTAGCGACGCTTCGCCGGTTACGCCGTGAGTTATTTATAAACCGTCCTCGAGCAATATTCTTCGATGTATGTGTGTGTGTAGATATACCCTTTTTAGAGTTTATCGGAGAGCACTGTGAGAGACTCTTAATGGATCCGGAATTGCGGTTGAGAAATCGTCACATCGTTCACGCGAGCGAGAATGTCTTTCTTCTCCCTCTTTCTCTCTTTTTTCTCCTTTTCTCAAGTTCCTTTGTCTCACCACCCCGTCGTTCATCCTCTCGCAGATCCGATTTCCTGGGCGAAGCCGGAGGAGAAGCCGCAGAACTGCCTGCACGAGGGCGTCTCGAGGAAACTCGGCGAGGAGTGGAAGCAGAGCGACTGCATCACTTGCACTTGCAACGAGGACGGCACCGCGTCCTGCCAGACTACCATGTGCAAGTCCTGCGAGAACGCGATACCGCCCGACCCCGGCGAGTGCTGTCCCCATTGCCCGCCGCCGACGAACGCGACCGTCTTCGGTCGCTTCGACGAGTCCTGCAAGACGTCCTTGGACGACTGCAAGATGAAGTGTTACCACGGCTTCCGCACGGACAAGAATAACTGCCCGATGTGCGAGTGCGCCGACGATCTGGTGAGAATTGCTGATCGCGAGCGTCGTAAACCGTCGGTTCTTATTTTACAGCGGAGTTCTCGGCTATTAAATATATTATCTGCATCAGCATATATAGCTAGGCTATGCGCGATTTATCGCCAATTATTAGCATCTTATAATCCTTGGCGTATCAGAATTGATATCGGAATTCGTTTCGGGCCCTGTTTTAGTTTTTTGGTCTCTTCTTCGAGCAATTTTCATCGTTTTTAAGAATTGAGATTTCTTGGCTTTTGTTCTTTCTTAGAGATCTTCCAAACAACAAAGAGCTTCGCTTTTTTTTTTATTATGAAATGAGTTAATCCTTTAATCTAATCAACATCACGATAGTGTTGTGGGTTAAACATCTTCGGGGCTGAGAGAGTTGGACTTCTCTACCGCGCGACTTTTATCGCGGACATTCCTCCCAAACTCCCACAGTTTCTCAGATACTTCCCCTATTATTAAAGTAGTTGTAGTACAAAATGACTTTTTCAAGAATTCGTTGAAACTCGGGCTACATAGTGATTTAAATATGACCTGATTATTTGGAAGCTGAGATATTCGTAACTGAAGATGACACTTTTTACACACGGAAAAAAGTGTTGTTGTATTAACCGGAAAGAGCACAACCGGATGCGTTTCGGTCGAAGGAAACAGAATTTCTGATTCTTATGGCCCCGATGTGGCTCTTGTAAGCCGTCTTTAACTACGAAACACCATCTCAGCTTTCGGATGCTCACCTCATTTTCTAATTGCGCCAATAATTCGAGCATATTTAAATCAGTATATAGCGTAAGTTCCAACGAATCCTTACAAGAGTCACATTGTGCTGCGACTACCTTAATAGCGCATCACGCACGGAAATGCAATACTCTGAGATATTAGGGGGACGCGTACGAGGCGGGGGGTGACCGGCAATGCGATACGATGTACAAGATCCGTTCCGGTTCTGACTGACGATTACCCGCGACGACAATGCGGCCCGCCACCCTCGTAACATCGTCTCTCTCCTCGTGCCCGAAACCGCTATCAGCCCTCCCTACTCTCGAGGACGCGAGCGTCCGTCGCCAAGGCCCGTACATAGATTCGCCGCAGAAGGCGCGACTCAACGCCGGCGAGGAGGAACCGCGCGCAGTTTCCCTTATCTGAAACACCATACCTGTAGCCCGGAGAAGATTTCTTCGCGGGACTATCGTCGTGCCCGACGAAGTTCCCGGATAAGGGACATTCCGGCGGTCTCTCCCTCCCCTCGTCTTCTATCTCGCGAACGGTGGCGAACTTCCTCTCTCACTCTCTCATCCGCAGGAGGTCGAGACCGCGCCGGATGTGCTGCCCGAGGATTATAAAGTTTGCCCGGAGCTGCCGCATTGTGGACTCAACTGCGACCTCGTCAAGGACGAGGACGGCTGCTCGGTGTGCGCATGTCAGACGCGTTATCCTACGAACGATACCGGCCTGACGACGAGCGGCAACGACAAACGACGGGTCTGTCCGGAGGTCAAGTGCGACCTCCATTGCGAACGTGGCCTCGTCATGGACGAGAACGACTGCACCTTCTGCGAGTGCAAGCCACCCACCGCCGGCTGCCCGCCGCTCGTCGGATGCAGGAAGCGCTGTAGCTTCGGCTACAAGACGAACAAGCGCGGCTGTCCGGTGAGTGCCCGAGTCTGGGGATCGCGCGAATTGTGTTCGGAGTGAATGTGTTTCTCGAGTCGAAATATAAATCTCTTCGGTTTTCACCGGGGCGACTCGTCGCTCAGAGAGATCGGGCTGTGATGCCGCAACACCCGGCGTTATTTGCTTATTTTTCCTTTTATCTGCCCATCGATTCACGGGGAATTACCAGCATCGAGCATAATTGTACATATCATTCGAGAGAAGATGAATATACATGCAGATATGTCGTAAAGATAATGTTTAAGATAAATCGCAAATTTGTTACAATGACAATTTCGAATGAAGAATGAAAGTCAACTATGCTACTAAAATTATTTGCAAATAAACGTGTGATCGATCGGTTCGTTCAGATTTATCGTAAGCAGCTCGGTGCGCTTTTACATGAGATACTTTCTAAAAAACTCAGAGGGAATATTAAATGCACAAGTGCCTTCAATAATTCGATTATGAAGCTGTCCGGGAGATAATAAAAAGTCAAAGAAAAAGATGGGTTACATCGTACATTACTGAGCGAGGGATATGTTATTTTCACGTATACACCGATTTTTCCGAACGAATTTAAGTTTCAATCCACAGTGCGTAATAATCACTGGGATATCTCGCGACGAGACATCTATAAATCTGCGTCCCTCTCGTTGGCAGATTTGCCGCTGTCGCGCTTCGTGCATGGACCATTTGAACGAGACCCACGCGGAGGGATCGACCTGGTACCCAAACAGCTGCACCACGTGCACTTGTGAGACCGGCGGCAGGCTCAATTGCAAGGAGACCATCTGCTCGGTCGCCTGCAGTAATCCACTGCCGCCGAAACCGGGCACTTGTTGCCCCATGTGCCCGATTACGGTGAGTTTTCGCGCAAATGATCTTTGATACGTTTACGAACACCCGCGATATTATATATTTCTCTGAATCTTCTGAACACTATTATAGTCAGAAGTCGACTGACGCGGAACTCGGAAATACCATCGATTAAATCAAGTTGAAGGATTAATCGGTTATATTGAAAGGGAACAAGTAAATTCCCCTTTTGTTCCGAGATCTCTAAAGACAGAAATAAAAGTCACGTAGTTACAGTCATTTTCATTTACAGTCGTTTAGACGAAAGAAACTCCAAAATGAAAATGGGGTCGAGCGAACTCCAATGCACCAATAAACTCTGATGAACTCTAAAACACCGGGTTAATATGTACACGCGCGATCTTCCTCCGCGAATTGACCGTTAAACAACGAGAAATAGAGTTCAAGCCGTATTTCGGGGCGAATTTCCGTCCGAGAGTCGTTTCAAATCCTGTCCGCTCGAGCTGCATCCGTTGAACCGTCTCGAGACCGAGTTTAGGCGGAGTTACCTCGACCGCTGCTCGAATTCGACAGGTAGCTCTCTGCCACCTGTCGAAAACAGGACAGAGCAAGTTGAACATTGCTGCGAACCCATTGTTGCAGACGACCACGAAGGAGAACGAGAGCAGCGGCGGCCAGTCCGCGCGGGGCTGGGGCACCGTGCCGATCACCCTGATCGTCGTGCTCGCGCTGCTCTGCCTGCTGCTGATCATCCACATCGTGCGCAGCCGATTCCGCGGCCGTCTGTCGCCGTCGGAAGCGTCGTACGCGTCGTACCCGCCGCAGTATTACAAGTGCGTGCCCGCGTACGACACTCCGGTGCATCGGAACGAGAAGATCGTACCTCTGTAAAAGACTGGTGGTGCTGAGCAAAAAAAGAAGAAGCCCAAAGAGAGCGGGCCGCCCGGGCGGTAATCGCGACGACTCTCTCGACGACGCGCGCGCGACGGACCACCGGCATCATCACCACCGTCGAGAAACGAACGAACGGTTCGCCAGACTATTTTATACGCGATCGCCGATCCACACCCGGCGATCTAAAACTACCCTCGCGACGTCCGTGCTCATCACACACGCGATTTATTAATTCTTAAACGATGCGTTCGAAAGTGGCCCCGATCCTGCGAGGAATCGCGAGTATCTTGAGTGTGCGCGCATGTGTACAGAATTACTCGTCGTCCGCATTACCAGCTACGAGGAAACGTTTAAGAGTTAATAACAGCGGATGATTTACAGTCCGCCGATTGCTTCGCGCGGAGAGAACGGCTGCCATCAGCGCGACACGCGCGCGCGTAAAAACGCGCGTTAACGTGTCTCGCTAGTTCAAGCGACGAACAATGCGGACGCGCGAGCGCGGAACCGAGCGTCGCATTACGACACGCGCGCGCGATATGAGAGCCTTCTCTCTCTCTCTCTCTCNCTCTCTCTCTCTCTCTCTCTCTCTCTCTCTCTCTCTCTCTCTCTCTCTCTCTCTCTCTCTTTCCTTTCTTTTCTCTTTCTTTCTCTCAAACTTTGGATACGGTTGAAGATAATTTCCCGTAGATTCAGGATTAATCCATGAGTGGCGAGAGTGTCGCGAATTTCGATGTGAAAGAGAGATAGAGAAAAAGTGAGAAAGAGAGAGAGAGAGAGAGAGGGAGAGAGAGAGTGTGTGTGTGTGTGAGAGAGAGAGAGAGAGAGAGAAGCGCGAGAGAAAGAACCGCCAATCCGCACCAAACTCATACACACATTTTGAGCCGAGGCCCCCCCCTTCCTCTCGTATACCTTAACTTAAATATTGTGTAACCTGTAAATTATAATATAATTAAACGTAGCGCGCGTAATCTTACGGTTAATATAATATAGGTAAATGTTATTAATGTTAACCCACTCCTCCTTCCCGCCTCCCTCTCCGCCATCGTAGGTCTCTAAATTAAATGGGAAAAATCAAACGGAGGTAAGTCTTGACCTAGTAGTATTAGTTCCCTTGATCTCTGGACCATCATTATCATCTCGCATTGTACGTCGATGATGCGCGTTTATACGAGGCGAGAAGCATGTTATTTCGTTTTTTTTCTTTCTTCCGGCTTCCTTCCCTGAGGACGTTTAGATTCGCGGACGGCGATTCGACGCGATCGACCGAGGAGCGCACACCCTCCCCTCGAAACTTAAAGAGATACTTTTTATCCGTTATTTATATTCCCCTATTTCGACGGTGTTATTATTAGACTCGATCACCGCGGCACGTCGTTACGCGCAGCTCCGGTTTACGATGCCCGTAATCGGGCACGTATATTCGTTCACTGCGTTCTTCGTTTCCTCTTCTGCTTTCTCAGCTCGGTGTTAATAAAAGCGCAGCTTTACGAGATTCCCCGATCAAACTGCGGACTTATTTGTAGACCGACCTGCCGCGTGTGTGACTCGTGAGAACAAGTTCGTAGACTTAATTCACGTTAGGCTTAGCCGTTAACTGCTGTGTTATTAGACTGTTCCTATGTTCTGTCTTTTTATTATTAATACAAGAAAGCCCCCTTTCTGTATCTCTNTATGGGGTGTGTTATCTGATTTTTTGAGACAAATCCGAGTATTCCGATTAGATTCTACGTTGCCTTTGGAGACCTTATATGGTAAGTATATAAGTGCGAGTTTTACCACCAAAAGACTAAAAGATTATTGTTACACGACGCGTTTTCATATTAAAAGGAAGAAAGGGAATTTTTTTTTTATAATATTCCTACAAATTACTTTTATCGTCTTCTCTTTCTTCGTTAAAACCGTTGCAAGAGCAGTTTGATCGCTAGAATGAAAAGCATGATATCGAAAGCCGTTTTTGTACCTGCAATACGTGCATGATCAATCTTTCTCTGCACTGAAAAATACCCGATGATACCTGATCGGGTCCAATTAAATCCAATTAAAAAGTAACAAACGGATATATATATATATATATATATATATATATCCGAGGAATTCCTTAATTTGCGTTGTAATCGCGGAACGAGGACGCCGACGGCTGCCGATCTGTCGTCGTCCATCGATGTGTGATGCGGGCCCCGATCGTGGGCCGCGACTCGCGCCGCGAAAGAAGGAGATATCTGCACACACAGAGCCACACGCATGTACATATATATCGTGAAAAGAGAGTTTTTAGATTAAGATGAGCGCAACGACGCGAATGAAACCTCCTCTTCAGAAGTCCGTCGCGCGTCGCACGCTCGATTTTGAGGATCGCGCTGCTCGGCGGAAATAACGGTGCGCGCGGATCACGATTTACGTATATATATATACAGGGTGTTTCATAGGTCGTCAAGCTGTGAGAGCATGTTCTATTCACCGTAAAGATGGAAGAAAGTCATAAAGTCAGTCCGAGAAAGCTTCCTCTGCAAGTTAGAAACGCTTTTATTATTTAAACACATACGACGTGCCTCGCATCGACGCGAGGCATGCACTGACGCAGATAGAAATCAGTCCCAGCAATGTCTTCAGTGAGGTGTTCTCACCGTTGTCTGTTGTAAGTAAAAAGTGTCCGTAATTTGTAAAGAAAGCGTTCACGGGCTCACGTTTCCATATGACTTCCTTTCGTCTTTACAGCGAGTAGAATATGTTTCTAGTTTGGCGACCTGAAACATCCTGTACATACACACCTCCACACGAATCCACAACTCCTCGGTTGCTTGTACATACGCGCCCGGAAGTTCGTTCTCTCTCTCTCTCTCTCTCTCTCTCTTTCTCTCTCTCTCCGGCGGCGAAATTCTCGGGTGGTGAACCCGAATTATTTTCGGACGTACCAAACGTAACGTCGCACGCTTGAATAGACGCACCCCTGTTCGTATATACTTCATATCGCGGTGACGAGCGTGTGTTCGCGCGCGCGTACTGAGATGAGACATAACGCGACATCACGGGCAACGTGAGACGCGGAACGTGGGAAGAAGGGGACGCGCTCTCGGATGGAAGAAGGACGACGGGAGACATCGAGAGATATCGAACGACCGAGTGGAGGAGATCGTTGGAAACCGTCGTCGCGAAAAGATTCGCGCGATTCACAACGGACGAGAGAGAAGTCGCTTCGAGCGATCGTCCTCGAGCACTTCGGGTATGACGACGCCACCGTCACGAAACGAACCATACATATCCATGTGCTTGTACACATACGCACGTAGCTCGTCTTCTTCCCCCCCCCCCTCTTTCCCGCCCCTCGAGGCCCAGTAATTAAAAACACATACATATATTTTTTCAATGTGACACTCTTGTCTTTACATATCTCTCTCGTGTGTAACCGTGGTAGCCTATATATTAGACTTATTTATACGTTACACTACACGTGTAATCGCACGTGCGTGCGTGCGTGCGTACAGTCGGCAGATTAAGGGCTCAGACACAACGGAAGGAACAAGTAACAAAGAATTGAATACAGGGGATTGGGAACGGGGAATTAAATTTCGACATATTGGACAACTGTGCTTCAATCTGCAATAAAGGAATAGGGAGCCAGGATTCGGGGGACACTGTCGAAATTCTATTCCTTGTAACTTGTGTGCCTATAGTGCCTAGAAGTTAACTGACAACCTTCAAAATATGTAATGGCTATCAATGTACGAATGAAGATCGGTCGATCAGAGTTAATCGATAATTAGAATCAAGAAAATGATAAAATTGTTGATGAGGAAGTCAGGGATTCATTAGGAAATACAGTAAAAGTAGCGATCTTGTTGTGAAACGTACTTATATCTTATTTTTTATTCCTTTTATTGTATTTTATTGTATTTTACTGTTTTAAACTAAACGTTATTTCTAGTATCTCATCCCTTATAATTTCCTTATATTTAATTCCTCGTTTACTATTCGTTGGAAGTCGGAGTCCTTAAGGTTGTGCTGTCTTTCTCAATGAATTTCTCAATACACCTCTTATTCAATAAGAAAATGTATTTCCTGAGAATTACTTAAAAAAAAACGTACTCTATATTGTATGCGGAATGCATTGCGAAACTGATCGAGAAAAGATGTCGCACCTTCAATCTGCCGACCCGTGTGTGTACAAGCGTGTGCGTACGTGCGTGCGTGCGTGCATGCGTGCATATCGTACGTTATTGTCTAATAAGCCACAGGCTGTATTTCGCACGTGTGTATGTACTTCGGAGACAATATGTATGTAGAGAGTATCGAGACAAGGCAGAGACCCGGATAGCGTATGCATATATATATATATATATATATATGTATGTATGTATGTATGTATGTATGTATATGTATACATACATTTACCTGTAAGAATTATTCTTTTCGTTGTTAACGTAACGCAGGATGTTCGTAACAATAATAACGTCGACAAGTAACAATAACGGTAAACGATAACGATAGTAATAATAATTTAGCACACATATAGTCGGTTCTCGGTAACGAGCACGAACTACACCACCAAACAGCGAACGGTGCATACAATAATAAAAATTTGTGATAAACGGGATTCGGACGTTTCGTCTGCGCTTCGCGAGCGAATTTTTGCGATCTATCTTTCTCTCTATCAAAAAATTTTGTAACGCATCGACGCCCACCCCCTCTCCTCCTCCTCCTCCTCCCAGGATTTGCGATTTACTGTGCGACACCGGTCCAGCGTGTTCGATTTACCTCCTCCTCCCCCATTCCCCCTGACTTCGACCCGGCAACGACCCGCCGGTGAAGCGCTTAATGACGCCGTTTAATCAATCGCGGCGACGAAGAAGCGGATTAAACGTGGCTCGTTTTACCTTTTTGTCGAGCTCATCCGCCGCAAAAAGCGAGGCGAATCCGCGCTCCGTTCGCGGCGAGGAATTAAGTGGCAACGCAAATATCACGTTTGACGTCAATCGACGATTCGACCGACGTATAAAATTCGCCGTTTAAATTACACCGTATCGTGTGTAATTTGTATTCGTTGGGCAGAAAGAAAGAAGGGAAAAAGAGAAACTAACGAGGTACGGTTGTATTTATAGAAAATTTGTAAACTTAAGAGACATTACACGGAGTGTACGATGGGAACATATTTTATATCCCGCGCTAGATGCCTGATTATCCCGCCTCGAGATGACAGAGCCTAATCTATAAGGTGTCCCGAGAAAGTCGTGCAAGGTGGCCTCCGTAAAATTCCGGTATTCTCTTTTTTTATTCTGATTATTTACTCTATAATCAGCGTTCGATCGCGTTAAATCCGGAGCCAACTTCTCCCTGGGGAAAATTCAATGCGACGCTTTACTTTCCTCCCGGATACCTCTTGATACCCGACATTTCTGACCATTTGAGTCTTCCTGTTGTTAAATGCAGTACTTCGGTATACGAAAGCGAGACTCTTGATATCTGCTGAGCAATTAATTATCAGAGGAGAAGAAAACACCGTGCTGCTCGTGTACACTTTCTCGTGATTTGTGCAGAGAGAAGGACACATTATCGAGATATTATAGAGAATAGAGGAAGAGACTTACAGTTTTATGAATCCGAGCGTTACGACCGGTTTTTGAACGCAGTTACGAACAAATCGAGTAGTGTTGTACTTGTGCGCTCTTTGTACAAATTCCCTGTAACGTGATCATATCAGTGTAACTTAGATTTACTTAACATATACGTACATTATACAGCTATACATACTGGACGCGCAATGTTGAAAAAAATAGCTCTTGTATGTTAAATAAACTGAGATTAAATAAAATTGTTGATATGTGATGTTGTAATCGGAAATTCGATTCGCAAAATACACGCGCACGAAGCTTCCGTTACTTTAATTTTGTTTCTGTTTTTTTTTCTTTCATAAGCATATATTCAAATAATGTAAATCATCGTATCGCTGATAAGAATAAACAACACGGTCTTCCTAGTAACTGTATTTCGTTTATTTATTTGTTATTTTACAAAGATAACCTCATAGTAATATGTTTTATATATTGAATTTTTCAGCATCAAACGCGAATAAGAGTGTAATTTTTAAAGTTCAACTAACAGACTACCTGGCGCCATCTAGCCGTATTGTGAAGAAACCGATTGCTCCTGGCGGGTTTGTGTCTTGTTTAATTCGGGTTTGAGTCTCGCCTAAGCCACCTACTGTAGTTACCTCGTTACCTTTATTAGTTCCAAAATCGCCGTTAAGCGTCGCCACCATCTTAAGAGAAGAATCGAAATCGTAGTACGACTCAACGATAAGTCAGACGAATCTTACTTTTCAAGTAATCTGATTAAACTACGACCCGAAATTCTTTTTATTTTTTATTCACAAATGATACAACTAAACGAGAAGAGTGTTTGTTCCAATATACTATGATGTATTTTACGTAATTTACATTCGTCCCTGACAGAAAAGTATTACTGGCTGTGATAAAAATCGGCCAGCGATAAATTACCGTCGCTCAGTAGTTTCGTTATTCGCACGAGTACTCAAATTAATACTACTTATCACTGGCCAATTTATCACAGCTAGTAACAGTTTTCTGTAAGGCGTCATATAAATCGTTAAACAATCGTATAACTAAACTGTTACCTGCATTTTGCGTAGATCGAAGATGAGATCTGTGCGCGCAGGGAAAGATGCACATATATACTACTTAATATCTATTTATTAAAAACCATTTTAATACATCATTATTTCTGCATTATATATACATTACATACATTATACGCGCGCACGCGCCGGTGTATAATATTTTGTGAACCTCTCGACTATATACAGATAAAATAAGGAGAAAAAAAAATAGGTAACACGTTTGGTAGTTTTATCGCGTAACCGCTTTTTTCCTATCCTTCCGACACGCCGGTACACCGCCGGTAAACACGCCGGTAAACACAAACGCACGCGTTTTCGGCGGTTCTGACCGCACGGCGATATCTTAACCGTCGAAATCTCGCGGTGATTTACAATAATATCTACAACACAGACATCATAATCACGACGTCAAAAATATATCGTATACACATTCGACGAAATAAATATCTATCTTTCCTCTTACATACATACCATGCACTTACATAATCGACGTCTTATAAAATATAACTACAACGGTACAACTAAAGTAGATTATACAAAGAAGCGACATCCGCATATGTCCTGAAAAGAAATTCCGCAGGATCGCGCCCCGAACGGCAGTCGGAGCCCTTTTGTCGCATATGGAACGCCCTTGAAGAGAAGGGTGCGCGAAATAAAACCAGTTTTTCTCGCCCCTCCCAAGCTTTTCGTCTAGATTTCTCACCACCTCGTGGGGTCAAGCGCGCCCTTCTTTCACGGCTAACGTTCGCTCACAAACGCGTATACGCGTAATACAATCGTAATTGCACCGTGTGATTTCCATTCGGAGAAAGATCCGTTGAAAGGATTGTAATAATATTAAAATCGAGAGACCCCGCAACAGAAGAGGGAGTGACCCGCACATAGGTTTACATAACTGCGTTTCGCAGCGGTAATTTCACAATTACAATTCCGTAATTACATATACATTCGAAGCTATCTCACATGTTAACACTTTTCTCACCCCTTTCTCCTTCGGTATTCCGTCCGTATAATATTGATTTCCAAAATTCACAATTGTAATTTGTGAAATCAAATCTGACCGCAATGCGTGCATGTCACTGTCTTTCCGGGAAAAAAACTTGTCATATATAATTATATAATTATATGTAGAATATTTCCATATATAAAAATATATAATTATTATGATTTTATAGATATAATTGTATCATCGCTTTATATATAATTATATATTGTTATATGTGGATATATTTTATACATGACGTCTTTTATGTAGTTATATACATTTATATATAATTATACTCAATTATATATAATTATATGTAATTATGTATATGAAAAATTTTTTTCCCGTGTTCACAGATCGTAACTTCATTTTCATTTCATAGCTACACTCGTGATTTCTCTCTCTCTCTCTCTCTCTCTCTCTCTCGACACAATCGTTGCGTAAAATTTAAAACGCAGACTCGAAGCGCAAAGCGGATCCTTCGCGATCCACCGGAAGCTGTCTTCGTCTCGAACACGCCGGCAGATCGACATTGAGAAATCGATGTTGAGCCTAAAAGCTCGAACATGCCGGCCCTTTTCAAATGCCGCGAAATCTCCGTAGTCGTCGGCGCGCCTATTTACGCGGCTGCTCTTCCCTTCATTAGCGCGACTCGAGTCGCGGACGAAAGGAGAAGTAAACTCAGGCGAAGGCGTGTACACGCGTCAGCGCGTCGTCGTTTTGCCCATAATGGCCTTGATCACTTCGAGTAACCTCGTAGTCAGTCGATCACATGGAGTGCTGAGGCGGCGGCAGCATAATCTCGTAGCCGGCCGGCATACTCTGCTGATGGTGATGGTGGTGATGGGAGCTGGACATCATCTGATGATGCGTCTGCTGGTAATATTGGTGGTGCATACTGGAGTGACTGGTGTAGTACACCGAGCTCTGCTCCACGTCTTTTCCTCGGGTTTGAAAAACGGGACATTAGAATAGCGGTATTCGAAAACGGTGCTCATCGTACAAGCTCGGAATCGACGATTCGACTAGCCGCTGCGGGGCCGAGATGGTTGCTTTCGTGTTATTGTTTACCGTTATCATCCGGACAATGTCTTGGACTTTTAGTCCACATTCAGTCAGTAATGGTAAGACGCGCTGCCGACGGCTGGCACGTGGAAGGCGGCGCCTAATCGACGAATCATTGATTCCGAGTGTACGAATGTGAGAAGGACAAAGTTTCGACATTCGTACTTAAAGGGCAAAACAGCAAGAATTGTTACACAGTTGGTTACGTGTTCAAGCATTGGTATTAACACTTTTACCTTGAATTAAATTATGGAATTGTGACTGTACTAATTATGAATATATAAATGATGAGATAGAAACATAAATTATGACCATTACAATCATGTGATATGTGAAATACGATATTAATTATAATTAAATGGCAAAATGTGCGCAGGTGTCCCGCGAATTAACATTCTCGGAGAATGCCCGACATACCTGTGTCGTACACGCTACGTCCGTAACAAAGGGCCTTGACGTCGTTCATAGGGCTCAGTCCACCGTTATGGGAGTGTGCGGTGTGAACGGACGACGGGGTGACGGGGGTAGCGTAGCCGTGATGAGGCCCCATTGGGCTCATGCCCATAGGACTGCACGGGTTCATGGCGACCGGTGACATGCCTATGTTCGATAAGGGCGACATCGCGAGATTCGGACTGTCCGAGTCGATGCTCTGCAGGGATTGGATGCTGCCGCCGTTGCTCACCGAACTGCTGATCACGCTGTTGTTCGTAGCCTGACAGTTCAACGGTATCATGTCCCTACGAACAGACAGGCGTTTCACAGCTGAATCTCTCCGATCGATCTGCCAAATTATGTCTCTGATTAGTACCGTTTACCTTCCCCTTACCGCTAGTTAAACCTTCCCCTCGTCGAATTTTTGGCCCAGAAATTTTTTATGATCGGTATTCACAATCAAATCTTATACTTAAGACCGTCTTGAGTTCACCTTCGGATGCTTCGTAGCCGATAAAATGAGCCATACATAATTAATTAATTTAAGTGATTAATTTGATTAATTAATTTTTTAGTGAACGAATTACATTCGGCCTCCGAGTTAGCGCCGCGTCCCCCACGGATTTGTCTCCGACGTTTCGTGAATGTAACAGTTCATTTTCTCTGAGAGTGAGAAATAACTTGAAACCAGTTGTTCCTCGCCCCGATGTTACGATGTTACACAGAATCAGCAATATTTCTTCTACTTCTAGTAAATGTTTATAGAATATTTAAGTAACTATTTTATTCGAATCAAATAACTATTACTCGAACGGCATCGTTTTTTTTTTTGAGCGCGAGTGTGACGTACTCCAGGATAACAGACAACACACTGGTCTGTTATCCCGAAGTTCCCGAGTTCGCCTCTCGGTGGAACCAAAAATATTTTCATAGGCTCGTGTCTCCTCTTTGATGGACTTGACACAATGTATCCAGAGTATCTCTGCCAAAAAGCCTAACACAAATTGCCGTTCGAAATCGGCGTTTTAAAACTTGTAGGTCCCATATAGTTGTGTATAATCTGCGTGAGCACCACGATTATATGCGTATGAGGTTCGGACAACGTCCAAAGACGTTCAAAACCGAGATATATATATATATCATTTTTTTTTCAGTGCACCCAACGCATACGTAAAATAATTTGATTTCTTCGGGTTGATTATTTTACCTTGAATTAAATTATGGAATTGTGACTGTACTAATTATGAATATATAAATGATGAGATAGAAACATAAATTATGATCATTACAATCATGTGATATGTGAAATTTTTTTTCTATCAAAAACAAATAACGAATGAACGCATTGCATATTCGTGACCGTTTCGTGGCTGTTACTATCTAATCGTCCAGATAATTATCTCGAATAGGGATACACGGGTTTAAGGGTAGCCGGGTAATAACCGCGATTCTGACCATTATTCCATTTCTCTACCAAGGTTTTATTGACAGTATCATTAAGAACAGTCATAAATCTCGCTCTCTCTTTAATTAAAAAATCGTGTAAGATTCTTTTATTCCTTTATTTCTGTTCCTTTGTTTTACTTTTCTCGGGAGAACCTTAAAAAAGCACACATCTTGCCATTTCGAAAAATGTGACGAGATATATTACCTGATGACAGATATCTGTTGGTTCGACCCTCCAACCCAGCATGCAAGTATGGCGGGAACATACATATGAGAGAAACATAAATATGTTTCGTTTGAAAGAATTTTCGTCCCAAAATATTAATAACGGTACCCGGCAGATTTTAAAGGTCAAAAAGGTCCGGTCCCAACTGCGAAAACAGATGACAAACATTAATCTCATTCCATTCAGTTATTGCTCTTCGAAACGAACCGTGGGATACAATAGGACTAAATAAAGTGGACTGCTTTTCTAGCACAGACGAACGTGCTCACATACGCTCGTTTGCATATGTATCTTCGGAGAAAGTTCGGAGCAGAACAAATAATTGCGTTCAGACAACACAACAGGTGTATAATTAGTTAAATAAATAAGTAATAGTTGAATAATTCGTCAATATAATTGGTCTAAATTTAGGGATCTAACAATAAAGACTAATGATTGCTGACCGCTCACTGATCGCTTGTGTTTTTGCGAACGCAGCTAATGATTGCCTATTAATGATGAAAAGTCGAAATGACAATATATGAGACATCCAACGTCATAACGTCGCAACGGAGAATTCAGGAGAAACGTAAATATCTCTATTATATTATTCTTACCTCTGTCTGACAAAAGTGTAAGAAAAGGTATGTTTTTTCAGTTGAATCAGGTTGCATTTTCCATTTTTAGAGACAGCCCGGTCAACCCAGTCAACCCAGTCAACCGAGCATCAATTAGCGTACAACACTCGGTATATTATATAACATATTGTTGAATGCGAAATTATATATGTCAACTTGTTTTCGATTAATTCTCTGAAATGAAATTCTCTCATTGTACCATCGGCTGCGCATTTCGAACTGCATTAAAAAAAGCGTTCAAACTATATTGAAACCGAGTATATAGGGTGTCCCAAAACCGACGGTATATCCTTAACACGGCAGATTCTCCAAGACATTCTAAGTTCAAGTACGAAAACGTCGAGGCATCAATAGCTTCCGAAATAGCGATCGAAAAAGAGGAGCTTTTCGCGAAGTAAACTTCAAACGATCGAGTGGATAACGAAATGATTTTCTTCGATCAATTTCAAAGGGATTTTACATTTACAGAGGTATACTTTAGATTTTGGTTACATATACAAAGATATGTTATGTTGAAAATGGAAAAGTCGCTGTGAATGAGAACCTCCCTCGGCACTTTCGTATTTGAACTTTCGTCTTAGAATCACCCGGAGAGTCTGTTGTGTTAAAGACGTTGATTCCGGGACACCCTGTATTATCACCTCGGTTCCTGTCATGATCGATTACCACGCAGTCCCGAGAGCAGTGGCTCGCAATCGGTGACTATTTGGTGCACTCTTAACTTCACCGGAAAAGAACCGGTGTTCAAACCGTTTCGCAAACGAAATGTACACGCGAGCATGCGTGCGTACGTGCGTGCGTGAGTATGTATGTGTGCAATATCACTCACGGTGGTCCCATGTGGTCAGAGCTCCGCCCAATGACCGTGGTACGCCCGCACGACACTTTTTCTCTCTCTCTCTTTTTCCGCCCGCTGTACCGGCGTTCACTACATCCTAACGCTGACGTTGGGTCGCGCATTTTTTATGGTCGAGCTTCAAGGTCCAAACTCACGAAGAGGCATACGCCCCGTGTTACCCCGAGACGAGAGCGTCTCGAGCCCTTTCTTCGTCCTGAAGAATGAGAGTCCAGCGTTCTCGGAAGGCTGGAGGGTTCGTCCCGGCAGTATTTTGGGGCGGCTATTAACGTCGCCTGTGTTATGTTGTAATAAACGCGTTTCGAGTGTACTCTCGAAGCTTTTAAAACGCGGGAAACCGAATTTGTCAGGAGAGGCGGGAGTGAAAATGCGAGAAACGAACGCGGAATGAACGAAAGACTCATCTGTATCGATGTATTTCGGCTGGATAAATAGGACGTAATAATTATAGTTCTAATCAATTCGTACGGACTGCGTTGTTACTATACTACATTATTCGGTATTAATTGTACTTAGAGGGGAGAGGGATATTTAAAATCGACGATAAGAAATCATTTCGGCAAACTTGTTGACACAAATATCCCACTGTGCGTCGCGTGGAAATTTCGCTCTTCCAGACAACTTCCAAAACCGTCTGGTGCCGCCGCGTTTGGCGCCTAAAGATCCACTGAGAAACTCATTTAGTTGAGTCAACTAAATTCTTGTTTGACTATGGGCAAATATATTTTTGTTATAAGAACCAAGGTTTAGTTCTTTGAATCAAAGATTTGGTTCTTTGAGATCTCCGAAACTTCGGAGAACGAAACCTTCGGTTTAGACAATCAAATTTTGATTCTTACAATCAAAAAATTTCTTCGCCCATAGTCAAACAAGAATTCAGTTGATTCAACTAAATGGGGTTCTCCGTGTATAAGACATAGGAACGCGGGTCGCAGGTTGCAAGATTAGAGGCAGCGTGAGGTCTTTTTTTAGGCCGCAGGTTTCGATACGCAGTTGGGCGAACCTCAACTTTCGCGTCCCGCGTCAAAACGTCCAGCCAATCAGGACGCAGTATTATGACATTCTATTCTTTCATTGGCTCAGGCAGAGCGCTCGCTGCGTGTCTGTGCAGACAGATTACACCAAGAATTTCTACGAGCGTGAGATCGTGCAGCTACTGAAGAAATGTCAAGTCATTGGACAAAACGGCACATTCTTGATCGATCGATTGTATTGTAAAATAAATAAATGTTGTATGTACATTTTGATGAAGTAACGGAACGAACTTTCGCATCAACCCAATAGAAAAGTCAACACGTACACGGAAAAAAAGTTCAATATTAACCGGAAAGGGAACAGCCAGATGCATTGTGGTTTGGAAGAAAACAGAATTTCCGGCTATGAGAACCACATTTGGATCATAAAAAGAGACTTTTTTCCGTATAGACGAGAAAATCTTGCGGCCAGCGTTCGTTCGTTGCGACTTGCGACCTGCGACTTATTTTCGTCGTCCTGCGTCTTATATAGACGGGCCTCAATGATTCCTGCATTCGGAATGCGAAAACATTTGCGCGCGACCAGAAGCGACGCGGTAGCCAATCCACGTCTCGTTTTCTCCATTCTTATGACGATTCTTATATTTCCATCTAAGAAATATAGGTTGCCCTCCAGCGAGAGACGAGTCGACGCAAGTTTAATTACATCGTCATTCGTCCTTACTTCGCGCTCGGTAAAAGAAAGAACGATAGATGATATAATTAGACTTGTGTCTCCCGTTGGGAAGCAACCATATTGGCTGCGGCTTCGCGCTTCTCGTCGCGCGTTTTGCGCGGAAGGCAGAAGTCGCGACGCAACGCGATAGGCCGCGACGGCCGTCGCTGCTCAAGCCGAGCGACGGAGCGCTGCTTGGCGAGCTAACGAGGAGGAAGGCACGTCGTCCTTGTTCTCGCGCGGCACACGTAAAGATAAATCGAGGTAGCCGTAGGGCCGGCCGTGGCCTTTATGTAGTAAACTATTGGTAGTGCGAACAGCTCAATGGTGAAACGGGAGATGTAACCGAAGCTGCGTCATAAAACGGTAATGGGGCGTCGCGTTTCCTTTTCCTGGGGCCTTCGGTGAGGAGGGTGGACGTTAAGGACGAGAAAAGGGAGGAAGCTCGAATCGGTCCTCCTCCATCGAAAAGAATTGTTTTCTCCGACGGCAGCGAGAAGGAGCTTCGCGAAAAAAAGAGAACGCCGGGACGCATTCAAAAATTATCCCGCTCGTGCCAACGCGCGAGAATAATCGATACATCGGGACCTCTCGAAAGCTCGATCTCTCAAATCGGCCGCCGTGGACGCCCGACATTTTCCTTCCGAGCGCGAAAGCTCGGCGTATCGCGAAAGCGCCGTGGAATGTTGCTCGGTGTGGAAAGGACGAGAATGGCGAATGGCGGAGAGATCGACGAGAGAGGGAGAGAGAGAGAGAGAGAAAGAGAGGTGGGTAGACTTCGTCGGCCGAAATCTCCCCGTGCGACAGCGATGGCCGACGCCGCGCACGAGTGTGCCTGACGTGCCGTCGTATGCTCGCACGCACGTACGGCGTCATGTACGCGCACAGAAAAAATACAATGTGAATGTTCAAATTAACCGAACTTAACTTTTCTTCGATAAAGTATAATAACATTATTCTCTCTCTTGAAAAAAAAGAATAAATTCTACTTTTTCGGTGTGATAACAAGCTTTTCTAAAATTTGTAATGTAATGCATCTTAAGTGACTCTTATCAAGATAACATTCTATGTTAAAGACAACTGTTGATAACTCAAGGGAAAAAAATCAACTGGGTAATCATCTTTCTTAGCAATGATATTTTTTTCGCTTTCATTCTTTTGATCGGAAATTATATGATTATCAGCCTTACACGTGTACACATATAATCGAAACCGTCATAATTAAGCTATTATAAGCCTGTCATTATAATCATCATAGTTATCTATCAATTAGAGTCACATATACTTGTTGATTAGATTATATACTTGTTGATTAGAGTTACTCGTTAATCCTGACAGTAACGTGTTAGATTTACACTCGTTTTCTCTCGTTTATCCTCTCTTTCACTTTTTATGCAAGACGCTACATTCCATTCCTCTATTAATCAGAAAAAAGTTGGGTCCACACGACCACTGCTATCATCAACCTGACCCGATGATATAACTGGTTTCCCGATGGCAACCAGTCCGCAAAGACAATAAATGACAATTGGCAATAAACTTAATACATGTTATTAACGCAGACAAATCTTCTAAAAATTACCATTTTTACCATTTTTTTCGTAATGCAGGCCTGCGAGACCTATGATGTTACTTCAGCGTCAAGATTAAGGGTGTCAGGGTTATTAATTAGAGTTACTTACACGATCGTCGACCTTATGCATACACGCACAAGCTTGACAATCACGTAACTCTCGATTTGTGAAACGGTAGGGCATGCATGACGCGGTGCGTGCGTATCGCACACGGTGTGAGTGTCCGCGTGAATTCTGACGGCGCGCGTTATACCGTCGCTCGTGCGTGCGCGCGAAGAAAGGAACGGAGCCGAGAGCGAACGCAGAATTGTTATGGCTACGACGGTGCTGCGGTCATGGCTCGCTCCCTCTCCGTCCCTCTGTCTCTGTTCCTCCCCGTTGGGCCTCTCCGTCTCGACGGACCCATAAGGTGCCCCCATGGATTTGGTCTCTCTCGAGTCGAGTCCGAGTTTGAATTCACACCACCCGTGCTATTATAAACACGCGATCCATTTTTCGCCCTAAAATCCTCGAACATTGAAACCTGATGATTCTCGGTTGGCATACTTTTTCGGATCGTTTTCTGAAATATGTAGGTCTCCGGATCTCGGGAAAGAGCCTGTCGGAAAATTTCCGAGAGGGAAGAAAAGTTCGGGGAGAGCTCTCGACACGTCAAGTGGCGGAACGTGTCGCATGTGTATACGCGTGCACGTGAAAAGAATTATGCAAAGTACAAATTCGAAAGTTAAATACGGACGCTACCGGTGACCGCGAGATAACAGTGTATACTTGAGTTTTTGATTAATAATTGATATTTAATTAAGTAATCAATTAATCGATATTAATTAACGTGCGTGTACGCGTGTATGATTTTCGAGATAGGACCTCCCGCAGCTTCCGTAACCTCTTAATCAAATATCGATCTAATCGACTCGTGGTGATCTATACGTTGCTGTCTCACTCTCCGCAGCGTCAAATCGTCGCTATGATATAAGCACGAAGCGAGATAAACGGACCGAGCGATTTTGTGCGCCGCTTTCCGAGAATTCCGCTCTCCATCCTAGCGCATCTCGATCGAAAGAGAGAGATTAGGCCGACGCTGCCGATCTTATCGTAATTTGCGATCTCATGTTATATCAATAAGCGGCTGAACACGCGTCCGGCATTATCTACTTCGCCCCCGTTTCCCCCTCCCCCTCTCTCTTTCTCTCTGTGCTCCCCTACCGTCGCTTTTTCTCCGATGTATCATTTACCTATAAACGTCGCGCCTAACATAACAAGCCGCAGAGTTACGGCCACGGACCTTATCCCCATTCATAATCGTCAAAGGACGTCAACACGGCGCAGACATTAATTAGATAAGCTCGCGGATTAAGTAATCACCGTCGGCGAAAAGGAGAACCGAAGCGACAACGAGCACCCGGGGAATGCGTCTCACGATTATATCATCGCTCGATTATCGTCTGAGTTCGGTAAATATTTTCGTAAAGGCCAGGATGTAGGAATTCCTGCGGCGGTAATTGCGAAATAAAAGGGGGGGGGGAAGATTCGGAAAATTGTATAGTAAAACGAGTAATCCAGTTTCTATATTGGCAAGTGGCTACGCCACAAGTGTGTATATTACGCGCGCTCTTATGTTTCGGATGAGCTTTCGCCTAACGTATGCGACCCGCTAAATTAATATCCACTGAACTAAACTAACTTAATTCGGGGCAGAATTTGAGCCTCGAAAGGTTTTTAAAGAAACCGAGTTTCTCGGAACACACGTATCTTTGCTGACGTAACGAATGAGTGAAGATACCAGGACGAGATCTGAGGTCTGTTCTTTATAGCCGAACCGGCAGCATTAGTTCTCTTGCACTAGTTCTCTTTCCCTCTTTTTTACACGAAGTCACAGCTATACTCCTGTTTATTTTTAACTCTCTAATGGCAAGGTGGATTTTCAGAACGTCAAAGCGTTTTTCAAGGTATTTTATAGCAATTATTCAAAATCAGTTAGTAAATTTTATTGTATTTCTCATCTATAAATAAACAGAGGGAGAAGTTTCATGTTATTATTTACTTCTTTTGTACATTAATTAGATGAGAAATGAATAAAACAGCGCGAACCGACCACAAACTTATCATTCAAGAATTAATTCCGAAAGTGTAACATTAGTTCAGCAACAAAGAGCAAATCTCAGGTCAAAGAGTCATAAATAACATCACGATTCTCTCTAAAAAGTTGTCGACAATATCGCTTGGCAGAGAAGATATAAGAGAAAGTTTACTTTTAAAACAAAAATGTTTTCCGAAATTGAGTCACGTTATTCAAATAACATAAAATGGCCCAAAATCTAGAGTGGATTCAGGATGACCCGAGAGGTTGACTCTTGGGACATGCTTATTCCAAATGACCTTAGAATATTTTTGTCTCTATTTTGTTTGACATGATTTACTAACATGATGAGCACATTGGAGGCATATAAAAATAATAGAGTAGTTTTTGATGACTTACCCAGAAGACAAATATGTATATTTTGGGTTTTCTGTTAAAAAACGGACGATAAAATAGAGACAAAAATATCCTAAAGTCGTTTGGAATAAGCATGTCCCAAGGGTCAACCTCTCGGGTCATCCTGAACCCACTCTAGATTTTAAGAATAATAAAAGAAAAAAAAAATATTTTAAAAGTAATAAAAGAAAACCATTTAAGTTAACTTCCAGGTTAACGGAACTTCACGGATTTTGCGAATATCCCAGGTCCAGATAAACTACCTTAGGGCGAGGAAGAATCCTGACCAACATTAACCCGGAAGCCGAATAGGATATTTTTTTGTACCGTGAGAGCCTAAAATATTAGACATGGCAGGAGTTTTCTCAGATTTTGCGAAAAGATGCAAAAGGATCGTTGTTCAAACAATACGATTCTCGACTACTAATTTTTAGACAAGAACGTCACAAACGCAACGGGATTTTTACAATTTTTTTTTCGCGATGTAAACTCGAGAGACCAATGATGTTACTTCAGCGTCAGGATCGCGAGTGTTACTTTCAGAGTTAATTTCCTTCTTTGAGAGCTAGTTTCACATCCTCCGATTAAGTTAATCGATCGATTAAGTATCAAGCGTGATTAGTTATTTCGATTCTGTTTAACGACAAATGCGACCGTCATTCCAGTGGAATAATAACCAGCCGATTAAGTTAATCGGAGGTTGTGAAACTGACCTTGAAATCGTCGAGTTCGAAAATTGACGCGGAAATAGAGGGAAAATTGGGACTCACGTTCTCGCCTGCGGCGTGCGATCCCTCTGCCGACGGTTCTTGAACCAATTGGACACCTGAGTCAACGTCAGGCCGGTCTTCTTCGCGAGGTTCTTCTTCTCGTCCGGCGTGGGGTATCGGTTTTTCATGTAGCACTCCTTCAGAGCGTTCCTCGAGCGCTCCTTGAAGCAGTAAACGGTCTCCTCGCCGTCCCAGATCGTCTTCGGCAGCGGGTACTTCTTGCGGAGCCGATACTTGTCCACGGCGCCCAACGGTCGGCCGCGAATTTTCTCGGCTTCGCGATAGTGCGATTTGAACCACATCTGCTGCAACTCGGGGTGACGACGCGGCGAGAAAGCGTGGCTCTCCAAGATCGAGTAGAGCTCGTGATAGGATCCACGATGAAAGGCAACGGCGGCACGCGCCATCAGCACGCTCTCTCCTCCGCGAAGCAGCTCGCCGGGAGGTAAGGACCAGAGAAATCTGAAATGAACAATGTCGTCCCCGGTGAGGGTTTTTGTGGAATCGGCAGGTTGTCTTCGGCCGCTTGGCAGAAGAAGAGAGGTACAGTGCGCGGGCGCATCTACCTCTCCCCTCCCCTATATTTTGGGTAGACTGCACAGTGCGAAACAAGGACAGTATTCCATAGTTGTGAAATGCGAAACAAAGACAGTGGTAGCCGACAGATTTGACGATCACTGATCTACGCTCGTTTCGATGTTTAGATAGAATTTACTGAACTTCCCTTTCCCTTTCCCGTCGGGCGCGTGTGGCTCAGTGAGGTACAAATCAATGCACTGAATACCGAGAGAAAAGTACTTAAGAATTTATTTGCGAGAGATATCAGATTTATTTCACAGAAATGAGATTTATTTCTGCGAAATAAATCTTTATGTCCCGCGAGTAAATTTTTAAGTACCTTTTCGTCGATGAGATGCAACATTCAAGTGAATATTTGGATTAAGTAAATGTTACTTGAATGTAACACTTTTTTCTTGCAGTAGATTGCGTTCAAGTAACACTTACTTAATCCAAGTAAAATGACTACTCCAATATTCATTAGCAAATATTTATTTGAATATAGCACTTTTTCTTTCAGTATATATAGACAAGCGTTTAAATTGGCTTTAATTGGCTCGGAATGATCAAAATGATCGTTTACTTGAATGTAGCACTTTTTCTCGGCGTATAAGAGCGTATATTCCTTACCCCTCTTCTTGCGCTTTTACCTGGACAGTTTCTCGATGTCCTGGCTTTGGGACAGTGCTTCGCACATACAGGATATCTGCTCGGAAGTGAAGTTGCTAGTGGTACCGCCGAAGGAGAGGCTGCTGATGTTCACGATATTGGCGCTCACGCTGGCTGTGCTGCAGGTAGACAGCTCCTGAGGATACTGAGGGCTACCGTTCGACGTGGGTGTCAGATTCTGCGGATGATGAGACAAGCTGAGACCGGACATCGACGTCGTGTTGCCGTACTGGGCAGTTGCGTTGCGATGAACGACGCCAATTTGACTGTTGCAGTCGCTATTCGGCGATGACAGCTGATCCGAACTGTCAGACATTCTTGCGCGTGCGGCGAGGCTCTCATGAACGTGTTAGCGAGGCGAGTCAGACGGCTGGACCGGGTTCACTAGGTTCATTCGCCGTTCGCCAGCACTGGAGATATAACTGAGTAAGTAAATCTTCTCTTGGGATTCCTCCGATTGCCGAATCTAGCTGAGATCCAGGGACCGACTCGGTCTTCCCTCACTCGGTAAATCGCAACTTCCTTTTATACAAACGATCCTTTCCTTTCTAGGAAAATATATATCCACAAAGACTCGTTCCGCAATCGACTCCATTTGCCCCGAAGATATTTCTGCCACTGTTCTGCCGAGAAGACACACATCCCTACACTATATTTCCCTATCTCTATGAAAACACCAATGACGATCTCCTATTGTCTTACGATTTTAAGCGCTTTGTTGACAAAAGAATCCTTTTCATCTATCAGGTATTCAAGTCAGGACTATGCAATAGCCCTCTTTCGCTTGTCCCGGCAGTTTAAGATGAACTTCACATTGCCGACGTTGTCTTGTCGTCCGCCGGATGAACGATCAGTGACGAAGGTAATCATCCGCTGTTCACACGCTCGACCCGACGCAATGGCTGTTTAATAACACGCGTTTCATTCATACCGACGCGATGCTCGATTCTCATTCATCGAGTTCTCCTCGCCGCGAGGCCCGCCATTCCTCCAGTGGAAATAGTGTGTGCTCGGCGGAAAGTCGGACGGTGAGACAGCCAATAGGACGCGTCGCTACCTGAAAATATTATCGGCTTTGCGACGATCGTTCCGCGATCTCCCGCGACTTCCCTGCGAGTACGGCGAGTATTTACGCCAGCGACTGTGTCCTCGCAGCGCGTTCCACGCCGGACAGGCAGTGCGACACCATCGCAGAAACGCAGCTCGAGTCCTCGAAGGACGACGACTGTGCCGTCGAAATCGTTACCGATCGATGCGATTGTCCGGCGCGAGCGCTCCTCAGCGCCTCGATATTCGCGGATTCGCGTCCTCGGTCGCGAGGAAAAGAAAAAAAAAAGAACGTGAAGTCCCACGATTCCGATCGCGCGTATTCATTTGTCCTTCGCAGCCGTGTCTGATTACCGCACCGCAAGCAAATAGCAGCAAACCCGAGTCTCTGCAGGCGCCTGGAACCGAATCTGAGCGCGACGGCGGCTCATAATGAATTATGTAATCATAATGCGACACCCGTCGCACACGCGGTAATTCTTCGCGAAAGCCGGTCGCTCCTCTCGACGGATATCCATTTTGTCGAGCCACTTGCTGCCCGTCGAGCGTTCCCGGAACCGAGGTTTCCCTTCAATCTTTGCGGTGCGGCATCGCCGGTCGGTCCCGCCGGCATCGGTTCGCCGAAAGCTGGCCTGAAATTCGCGGAACCCCGGATCACTGTCAGACCTGTCGCGCGACTGCCGACTTCTCACTTCGCTTTCCCGCTTTTCCGAATGAAAGGCCAACCCCCGTTAGACCGGCCCGATCGTAACAGGCAAACGGATTACGTAACCGACACTCGCCAAGGAGAGAGCACCCTTGGCCGCACGAGAGCGTCACTGAGTGACCAAGTCACCAAGTTAGTAAGACGAACTGGGTTGCCTCGCGCACCGTGGTGCGAGCGCGCCCGGTCGCCCGCTTCCGTTGTTGGATTGTGGTCGTGCTACCGCCTCCACGGACGGTTGTGGTGGTGTCGCCCGGTTGCGATGCTGACGACGCCGCGATGCCGGTCTTCTCTCTTCCTCTTTCCCGCTCGCTCCCCCTTTCCGCCCCCTCACCCCTCACGCTTTCTCTCTCTCTCTTCTCTTCTCCTTCTCCCTCCTCTCTCCCTCTTTGTCACCCCTCGTTCTCCTGCTCGTCCTCTCTTTTTTTTTTCGGCGGTGAAACTGTGCGATGAGCGAGGTACAGCATGCCCGGCGATTGGTCCGGGGCGGCGTATGATGCGGCTTCATTGGTGGAGAATGAAGTATATAGGTATGGGGAGGCGGTCTTCTACCCCCTACCCGACAACTTCACCCCCGTGAGCGCTTCCGATTTCTCCACGTTGCCGGGATTCCCACCTGGCGACCTCCGCGACGGACCGATTACCTGGATATATCGAATTTCGGCGATTCCTTCCTCGACGCTCTTGAGTCGAAGTTCGAGCAATTTTTTCCTCTCCTCCTTGTCTTCTTTATTATTATTACGCAACAGCTGTCTGACATGGGGAGTGTTGCACGTTGAACTTCCTCGCCCCGATACCGGATTATCCCTCGCATTCTTATCAGCGGCGGTATTCTACGCGTATTCTCATGTCTTTCATTTCTAAGCCAAAATTATCTATTACAAAGGGTGTTGGTTGAAGATTATGAATACTTACGGAAGTATACATATTTTGAAAATGTATCGCATCTCAAGCATTGTTGCGAACGAAGAGAGATACAAAGATTTTTAATTTTAATATTGTAAATAAAAAGATTTACCGTTGAAACTATACTAATTATAAGTAGTTCGCTACTAATTTAATCGATGACATCAATTTTTCTCGTTAACTATTTTAAGTTTGTAATAATTAAAAGCGCATGGAGATAAAAAGTGAAAAAAAAATCGGCTCATCGAGGGATTGATTTTATTTCAGAGACCGTCGCAGTTTATAACTCCTAATCAACGATATTAAGTTATTTGTGGACGATTTTTGTTTCGCTCAGCAGACACTGTTTTCCGTTATCGCGGAGCTGGTCGGGGAATTGCGAGTAGACAATAAACACCGGAAACGAAACGTGTCAACGTCACCGTACACCGTGTTGTGATTCCGCGCGACGCTATCGCGCCTCATGTTTGACTAATTTCACAACAACCACGCAACAATCGTCCACCCCTCGCCGTTTGACGAGAGGAAGTCCGCGACGGATTCGTTTATTTCGATCATTCTTCAGATGTTACGTTTTGGATGATTTATCGCGCGTAACATTTCGCACAGGTTGACTAGATGGAACGTCAAATCTCATGGGATTTTATAAAACTGACGCTGCTTCCTATTTTTGCAATAAAATTACGGATCAAGTGGACATTGATGAAACTAAAGCTACTATCAAATGATTATTTATTTACCGTCTTGTTAAATTAACACTTTCTTAGCCGGTAATGTTTTTACCTTTCTCAAATTGGAAGCTGTATACAACAAATTTAAATTTGTAACTGGTTGCTGCAGAGTTTCGTCGATAAAGTAAAAATAAAAACTAATATGAAACTTGCTTTATAATATTATGTTTGTAACTATTTGTTTTTATTGTGTTATTTGAAATTGAAGAAAATTTACCTGTTATAAACCCAAACAGAGAAAATGTCAAATTATGAACATAGGAAAAGTCAAAATTAAAAAAATTTGATTAACTTATTATTTATATTTTTGAAAAAATTAATTGAATTGAACATTTTTATATAAAAATAAAATTACTTAAATGTATAAAATGTAATGTATAAAGGAATTCTGCCATATTGCCATTATGTTAATTGTCATTTCACTGCAAAGTTGGACAACGACGATTTCGAAAAAGATTTAGAAGCAGATTGCAGATGCGGGGTATCGAAAGAGAAGGTTATCGTTTTAATAGAACGTTTATTTTAGCGATAAGATTTCCATCCCTTCGTGAAGGTCGTCGGCTCATCTCTGGGGTCGTATTATGATACACATTTCTGCAAATATGATCCAACGACAAACGTAACTTTATCTGCAGATCGGCCCGAATACGAACTCGTACACGTCTAAGGGATCGGTTTCGTTCATTCACAAGTATGTCACATATATCGTTACCATTCTTACACGTGCGAGTTTCAATCGTTTATCTCTATCTTTACCTCCGTCTTAAAATTTAAATTAAAACTCCATGTTTCACGTTATTATTCAGAATCGGTTAAAACAGGATGTCTGGTCTCAGAGGTCTCTCTTTCTCTCTTCCTCTTTTTTTTCTTTCTCTCTCTCTCTCTCTCTCTCTCTCTCTCCCTCTTTTGCTCTAAAAAATCAATCAAATCATATGAGGGATGATCACGGAAATGTGATAAATTTAGAACGTTGGTCATATGATGGAAATATGTCGGTTGAAAATAGCGAGAAATCTGGCGGACCACCAGCTTTACCTACATCAATGAGTGACGATATCTTTCTTCGAGTAGCAAAATGAGCCGGTCTTCGCCACGCCTCGCCAATCCTTTGAATTTACGCCGCCTTCTTCCACTAATTGCACGTCAACGTCAACGTTGAAGTAGCGTCATGCATCTCGGACATGTGAAAAAATGTCTGTCAAGATGCGAGTCACGAGTTACTAAATTAGCGCAACAATCAGACAAGTTAAATTCAAACAACTTACAGAAATAATTTGATTTAATAGAAAATCAAAACACTTGTTTGACGAAACAAACCGATTAATCGAGGTGAATTAATTAGATCGTTATTTAGTCGTCAATGGAATTTAATTTAAGAGAAACATTCTTGTTTCATGACGATACGAATCTATCAATTATTGGAAATATTTCTTTAAAAAAGAAACTTCATCTCGAGAAAGGACTCTCCTTGGAAGAGTAGTTCACCCCCAAAACTCTAAAGGTAAACTATTAAGAAAGATTATCAAATTCAGCTACTTATACATTATGTTGCATGGAACACTGTCGAAGCGTTGTTGGCCGAATTGGTACAGTGCTTGACCCAGCAAGTTTTGGAAGGCTCGATTCCTGGCTGAAGTAACATTTCTCGCAACATTAGATAAAAATTTTTTGTCAAGGTCCGAAGGAGATTATTTATAGGGGAATATTTAATATCAAAAATATTATTCGCGGAGTGAAAGGTCTGCTCGACGTAATAGGTAGCTATTATATAATATAATGCTGTCAATTTCGACTACTCGAGCATCCGATTCCTTCATTAACTGAGTATACCGCTAATTTCACACGTTGTTATTACCTGTTATCGTTAGAAAAATCAATCATTTGTAACGTCTGAAATTAGCCGTACACTCAGTTACTGAAAGACTCGGA